AAGGTAGGAAAACCTTCAGGGCATCACAGAAAAAGACAAGAGCACTGTGTCTGCCCTGTTAGCATGCAAAGTTTGCTTCTTTAGTATTATATAAATGCAAAAATAATTGCTGTATAATCACTTTTTATGCTACATTACCAATAGTTCCATGATTTATGCATGTACTTTGCATGCTTCTCAATTAGGATCGCACAAAGTTTATCAACTGGAGATGTTGTGAATGGATAGTTTTTTGAAACTCTAACATAACAGAATATTTGCATTTGTCTATTGTAAAGAGAAGCCTTTTCCTTGTCTGCTGCTTGGTTTTTCCCCGCCAGTCGCCTGGGCTCTGCCGTGTTGTAGTCCCCAAATAACACACAAGATGCTGTATTAATTATGAAGCTGTTGGCCTGGCTTGTTTCTTACTGGCTAGCTCTGACTTAAGTATTTATCCCATAATTGTTAATCTAAGTATTTCTCTTACCAGAGAAGTTTCTGGGCTTCTTATCCCTATGGCGGTTACATCTTGACTCCTGTGTTTCTTCTACCCAGAGTCCTCCTTGACTCCTAGTCCCACCTATCTTTTAGATGTTAGCTGGTTACCTCCAGATGGCCTGATCACAGTGGAGAATGGCTTCTAGTTTGTATAACAATAGTCCTAGGCCCCACACCCACCATGAGGGCTAGTTGGATGTGCCTGGGGACTAATGGGACCTGTCTGAACAATGGTACCCTTACTGAAAGTCCGAGGGCTTGTGTATATGCTTTCTAGGACCATCTCTAGGGTTAAAGGAAGTGTTTCCTAGTCAGCCCTATATACATGACAATAGATGTTTTATGCCAGTACCCCTGCTTTTGGAAAGCTATTTAAGAAGATGTTTGAATAAACTAGGGTCTCCAGTGTTGACTGAGAGCCCTCCTGAAATGACAAGATGTCTCTGTCTCATTCTTAACACTGCCAGGTAGCTTGGTTTGGACCCAGGGCTGTTTGGATGGTTCTGAACAGGCCCTAAAGACATCAGTCCAGAATAGATGACTCTTTCAGCACAGGACTGACACAAGCCAGACCCTGGCAGTAAATAAAAGGTAAATTGATAAATGAGAGATAAACAGATGATAGATGTTTAGTTCTTTGATGGTACATAAGAGATGATAGATAGATAGACAGACAGACAGATAGATAGATAGATATTTTCTACATAGAACAATTATCAGAAAACTATATTGAATAATGACTTCAGAATGAGATTAGAAAACTGTTATAATTGGATTATCTCTTTGTATATTTATACACGTTTGTTGTAGCCTTTGATATTTTAGAAGTACACTCATTTGCAGATTGTTATGGTGCGGTACAAATAGGACTACATTCTTATAAAAAGAAAAAAAATCGAACGCAGAGCCACACGAAAAAGAAAAAGATGTGCAAAACATTGGAAGAAGGGAGCCCTCTGCATTGAGAGAGATCCAATACAGTGAATATTCCCTCACAATCTCCAAAGAAGCCAACCCTAAAGCAGCTTGAAATTTTATTTGGATACTGGAGAACTGTGAGGGAAAACAGTATTTTCATTACCCATTCTGTAGGACTCTGTTGTGACAATCTTAACAAATGCAAGATCTAATCCTACTTAAATGTGAGGAGAACTGATACAGACAAAGGGAAGCAACAATTTATGAAAATGGAGCCATTATCTCACAAAATAGGTGAGAAGTGTTTTAGAAAGTGGCTGTAAATAAGTGCTGACTAGTTTTTGTCAATTTGACACAAGCTAGAGTTTTGGAGGCAGAGAAATCACTGCTGAGAAAATGCCTCTGTAAGACTGGCCTGAAGGCAAGCCTTTGGGGCCTTTTCTCAACTAGTGATTGGCAGGGGAAAGCCCAGCTCACAGGGAGCAGTGCTGTCCCTGGGATTATGGCCCAGGTGTCATAGGAGAGCAGACTGGGCAAGCCATGGAGGAAAATCAGTAATCTACTGTTCCCTGGCTTCTATTATCAGTTCTTGCTCCCAGGTTTCTGCCTTGACTCCCCTGCACTGACTCCCCTCAATGACAGAGTCCAAGCTGGAAGAAGAAAGAAACCATTTTCTCCCTGGATTGCTTTAGGTCATGGTCACTATTGCAGCAACAGTAAATTAACTAATACAGACTCCACTCCTGTGCCATTCACACGTATCTTTTTCAAAGGGTGAGACAGTAACCTCTCTATCTGGAAGTGTAGAAAAATATCAACTGCCTGGATAAACCAATATGGTTTAGAGAATTCAAGCTCTCTAGCACATATTCGAATTAACTGAGTAATTTTACTTCAGTGTCTTCACCAACGAGAATATCATAGGTCATAGAGTGAGTCAAGGGAATATGTGTGTGGCCGCATCCCTGGACTTTATTACACTGTAAGAGAAGGAAAAATGGGAACACGCTAAGCACACAGTAATAAGGCTGGCTGGAGTGCACACAGAACAGAATGTCTAAAACCACCTGTCAACACAGAGACACGAGGCTGATGGCAGAGCATGAGGGAAGGGTGAGCCTTTGTTTTCATTCTGTTTTTAAAGACGAATGTATTGAAAGAAAAACGAGCACTTACTGCAAATGGAACAACATCCTGTGATCACTTCTTCCCGTTTCGACTCTGTAGTGTAGCAATGTTTGAAACCAGAAGGCACTGATTAATTGTTTAAGCTTCCTGACTCTATTTCTCTAATTATTTTTATCCTGCTCATTAGTACTGCTGCATTTACTAAACTGTAGATTGTTTGAAGTCCTAAGGTGTGTTTTTAATCACAGAGGTGGGAAACACCAAATATGATTATGAGAGATGACTGTAAACTATATTGAAATAGCAAAAAGAAATAATACTATAATGAAAAATCATAAATGAAAAGCAAAAGCGATATTGAATATTTATACGTGTAATATAGAAGGGAGAAGCTATAAACTAAGCATTTTATCAAACGTACAATGAACATTTAGCTCTAAACTCATAGCCAGGTCAGCATTCTTGTTCTGATGTCATTGTATTTTTGGAGCAGTGCTTGAGACAGGGAGCATGGAGCTGACTGATAGACCATTCCATAATAGCATCTTGCCCTTGGAAGTGATTTATTATCTTATTGACTCAATTATTTCTACTGGAAAACAGGGTTACCAGGAGCGCTTACTGCCTGGAGTACAAAATGAGTTATATCATCTCGCATGCAAAGCATTGGCAATGTGTTTTATCAATCAATTTGATTTATAATATATATGATACTCTGAAGACATGTTTATTATACGAGAGAAACCGAAGGCATGAAATGACACTGTGCTTTCTGGTGAGACAGAGATGAACGTTTATTATTATTTGTTAATTGGTTTTGTCAGTGTGACCTACAAACTCCTGGGAAAGTTTATTATTGTATAATTATTGATAAGTCATTGTTGGACTGGGTCTGTGTCAGGGTCATTGTGGAATAGTGTGCTTCTTAGCCACAAACCATTCTAATTTCCTTCTCAAAGGAAGAAGCTGAAGGGTAGCAAACACCCATCTACACTTAGCAAAAACAAAACAAAAACAAAAATTGCCATTAAAATCTACTCTAGGTGAAATAAATTTAATAACCACCGATAAACTCCACGGTGTAAATTATTATTTTCTACAGATCATGCATGAAATTCATTAAGGTTCTCAGCAATAAAGATATTACTCATTTTGAAAACCTTATTTACACTGGGGTCAAAGCTTTATATAAACTACACGATTTAACACAAAAGAAAATGTGGGCGACGCCAGTATCTCACATTTTCCCAACAAACTAACATGGAGGAAGGTTTGGTGCCCTTTTCTACAAGTTTATAACAGAATGCAACTTTCCCTGTGCACTGCTCTCTCTGGCTTCTTTCTTGGTGAAGGGCTAGTTATAAAAAAAGCTGCTGAAATCTCCATCACGGCCACATCACTCACCGCCCTCTCTATCCATAGAACACACAAAAACAAAACAATTTACAAGAGCAGATTTCATATCCATCTCATTTCGCGCGATGCACGGAAACCAGTCCCTGTGTTTTCCGGTTTTTTCGAGCCTAATTGTAGCCAGGCATTCCAGCCTGGGGCCACTGTGTGCTGGGTTTTGTGCTCACTTTCCATTCTCCAGGACTTCGCTCCAGATCTCCAGAAAGAGAAAACATTCCAGACTCCCAATGCAGCCTCGTCTCCGCCTGACTAGAACATTTTCAGTTCACTCTTATTGTCCAAACAAGGCCCCCAAGTCCTAAACTTCACTCAGAAGCCTGGCATGTCCCTTCAATGCCCACATTTTATTGCAAGCAACCATCATCTCCCTCCCCTTCATCGGGGCTTCACAGCTGGCATTAGTCAAAGGAAATAACTTTATTGCCACTGTCAGTTTACAAGCGCTTTCTCCCTTCTGGCTAATTCATATTTACCTTTATAATAATCTTCTCTGTTTTAAGATATTTTTCTTAGCAAGTGAGCTTTGAATGTTTTCCCTTATGTGTTCTGATTAGTCACTGCATACTTCCCCTATTATGTATAGGTCTGTTTTCTTTTCTTTTTCTTTATTTTAATAACCAGAAAACCTTTTTTTTTCTTGCTCCAGCCCCGCCCCTCAAGCTCACATATATATACACACACCGGCAAGCCCATATTTACTGCATGCTGAGCTTTTCCTTGAACGTGAACTGCATCTTTCTGTCTGAAGTTCACTGGAATTGCGGTATGCATTGACTGCCTTTCATAATGGTTGGGTCCTCTCTCTGGCCTGTCTTTAAAACCAATAGTGGTTCTTGAACATAATTTGAAAGGAAATTCTTTTCCCATTTGGTTTTCTTCTCTGTGGGCCAGCGATGAAATCAAGGACCCTGTTGTGTATCTGGATAGGTCTCTCTGGAAGAGAAGACTTTCATACGGAATTGCTTGTTAAGGTTTCAGTCTAGAGTTTGCCGAACCTGCGAAACTTACTGTCTGCCCTCAGGTGGAAGTGTGTGGAGGGCTCTCATGCCTTTCTTCTGTGTTAGACAGGACTATGAAGAGCTAGAGAAGCAGCTGAAGGAAGTCTTTAAGGAACGCAGCACCGTCCTGCGGCAGCTGACAAAGACATCCAGAGAACTGGACGGGATCAAAGTCAACCTTCAGGTGAGCTGGAAACAAATCTTGGTAGCAAAGGAGTCCAGTCACCCACTGGACGGATATGCATTTTTCAACACTTTTCTCTGCATCTCTAGGCTTTGCCAACCCCAGTTAATATTTATTATTGTTTGAACTTTGAAAGGAAATATCTTTTGAAATGGTCTAGAGACCTGCAGCTTCCAAACATCAAAGGGAGAAAACTGTATACTTGACAAAGTCATCAGTTTCTCCCAGCTCCCAAGATCAATTTGACTCCTGTGTTCTTGCTGTTACAGATTGCTGGAGAGGATTAGACTGAAGGTTAAAGAATATAGGAATGGTGTCTAGAAGAGAATGTTTTATTTTTTCCCTGCCATAGCTGTGAAGATCCTTCAAGTAGTTTCTTTATAGAAATGGATAAATGTCTTACAAAGGAGTCGGTAATGTTTAAAACAAGACAAAACAAAAGCAAGGTCTATTCAGATAAAAATCTTCTAAAACATTGGGTAGTACTTTATTTTTTCCCGTGAAAGTACTTTTTTGTTTTCTTGAAGATAGATTGCTTTTCATACGTTATATTATAATTATGGTTTCTCCCCCCCCGACTCCTCCAGGTTCCCCTCACCTTCCTTCCTATGAGGTTCTACCCCTTTTCTGCCTCTTTTGAGAAAACAAACCTTACCAAAGGGATATTTTTTAAAAAGTATAATGAGATAACAAAAAAAATTAGAATAAGACAAAAACAAGCTAGCAGAAGGAAAAGAGTCAAAGACAAAAGCACAATAAACACAAATAGATACAGACACATACAGGAATCTCATTAAACACAATAAACACATATAGACACAGATACACACATGTTCATACCCATAGGAATCTCATAGAAACGCAAAACCAGAAAAGATCTCACACACACACTAGACACACAGACACACACACACACACAGACACACACACACAGACACACACACACACACACACACACACACACAGGACCTATAAGGCAAAAAACTTTGAGACACAACATTATGAGAAAAAGACTGGTATATTGCATTCACTGAGTGTCTACTGTGTACTAAATTCTTTGCTTTGGTGGCACTGCATGATAAAACTCTTTTAAATAAATAGAGGAAATGCTACTTTTATTGTGATTTATTATGCCTAAGCAATATTGACTAAAGAAAGTAGTTCTGAAAGTCAGTAAAGACCCTTGAGTTTAAACGTATGCTCTTTGCTCCAAAGCCTTTCCACACATCGCCCAACCGAGGCTGTATGTTATCTTGGTTTCTCAAGTTTTGCATGCTCCATGGACGCCACTGTGGCACTCTAGGAAGGATGATGGCGGGTGTGCACTCAACCAGTAGAGCATTGAAGTTGTCCAACTCGTATGTTGGATTATCTTTCCGTAGCTCCTATTTAATTTTCACTTGAAAACTTTGCTGTAGTTACTAATCTTTTATACTACAAACACAGAGTTTAGAAAGAGCACACAGGTAAGTAATGAGCGGCGCCAGCATTTGAATTCACTGTTGAGGCTGTCGCTGCAGAAGTTGTGCTATGCCTTGAAAGAGTAATACTAGCACCACTGGACAGGAGCTGGTGACAGGTAGAGGATTAGGAAGCTCATGAGGAAACATGCTGTGCATCTGGGCATCTAATTCTAAAAAGCAAAGGGGAGGATTCAGGAGGCTGCAAATTGATCTTGTTTTATTTGGGAAAGCCAAGGCAGAGATTACAGAGAAGACAATTAACAGGTAAACAAGCCTGTTAGGAATATTCAAGACAGCTGCCCGTACTCAGGGGGCTGTCCTCAGCATATGGCAAAATGCCCTGGGGAGATCAGTGATTACTGTGTTCCCAGGACACTTTTGTTTCCTCGGTGAAGGTGTCTCACTCTACACTACAACGCTGCTTAAGAAAAATTTTCCACAAAGCTTTATTTTTGAAAGGGGGGAAAAAGACTTCCCTGAAATGTTACAACTTTGAAAATGACTTTTTTGTTTTGTGGCACCTACTACAAAAAATGTTTTTTTTCCGTCGTTGTTTAATCTTAATAAATCCTCTCAGCCAACGCCCCACAAAATTAGCATGCTATTACATTGATTATAAAATGAAGAGTAAAGACTGAAGTAGCTCACAAGTTGTGGGTAAGTCATTCACAGACAAAAAAATAGGTGAGATCAGATTCCAAACTTAAAAGTAAATTGTATACAGCTAAGTGTTATGTGACTTTTCCCCACAAAACATGAATAAAATGGCTGTTCACCCCAGATCGGAAACTGGGAACTAGCAAGGCCCCACAGAAACTGTCCCACCTAACCTTAGCTTGGTATTAATGAGGGGAATATGGGTGAGCCAAGACATGGGCCACAAGCAGCTAGCCCTTCTCACCAACCTCAAGCGACTCCTGCTGGGCTGCCACACTTTGATTGTTTCAAGACAGGCTCTAGTTTTTCAAGCTGGCCTTGAGCTTGCTATGTAGTCAGTGATGAACATGCACATGTGATCTTCATTCCTCCTCAGGGTTGGGATTGTGCATGCCTCCTGCAGCGCCCATTTCTATGTATAGTCCTGGTGGCCAGAACCTGGAGATCTCCACATGCTAGGCAAGCACTCTATCAGCTGCTGAGATGCATTGAAAAAAAAAACCTGTCCTGTCTTTATTAAGGTGATGTTATTAGGCCCAATTTTGGGTAAATAGGTTAGAAGTAATCAGTCACTCTGATTCCAAGATAACTAGCATGTGCTATCCAGACGACAGAGCTCCTCAATACATCAAACACGACTTTCTTATCTATTCATTTAACTGTTTTACTTAAAAATTTCTCTTCATTTTTTAGTTTCTTCCTTATTTCTTAAAAGTATTTATTTGTTCCGTCTGTTTTAATTTCACATGAATGTTTTGTCTAGGCTCCACGTGCAATCAATACTGGAGGCCAGAAGAGAGTGCAAGATCCCTTGAAAATTGAGTGACAGAGAGTTCTTAGCCTCCCTGTGGGTGCTTAGGATCAAACCCAATTTAAATTCTCAAACTCCTTGTTGAACAGGGTTGTTTTGGCTATCTATCGCCATGCACACAAAACTTAAGTCCAAATGGATCAAAGACCTCAACATAAATCCAGCCACACTGAACCTCTTAGAAGAGAAAGTGGGTGGTACCCTTGAACGAATTGGTACAGGAGACAGCTTCCTGAACATAACACCAGTAGCACAGACAGTGAGATCAACAATTAATAAATGGGACCTCCTGAAACTGAAAAGCTTCTGTAAGGCAAAGGACACAGTCAACAAGACAAAAAGGCAGCCAACAGAATGGAAAAAAATATTCACTAATCCCACATCTGACAGAGGGCTGATCTCCAAAATTTACAAAGAACTCAAGAAGCAAGTCTCCAAAACACCAAAGGATCCAATTAACAAGTGGGCTGCAGAACTAAATAGAGAATTTTCAATAGAGGAGTCTAAAATGGCTGAGAGGCACTTGAGAAAGTGCTCAACATCCTTAGCCATCCGGGAAATGCAAATCAAAACAACTCTGAGATACCATCTCACTCCTGTCAGAATGGCTAAAATCAAAAACACCAATGGACAATTTATGCTGGAGAGGATGTGGTGAAAGGGGAACACTCCTCCACTGCTGGTGGGAGTGCCAACTTGTACAGCCATTTTGGAAATCAGTATGGAGATTCCTCAGAAAAATGGGAATAAACCTACCACAAGACCCAGCAACTCCACTCTTAGGCATATACCCAAAAGATGCCCATTCATACAACAAGGATATCTGTTCCACTATGTTCATAGCAGCATTATTTGTAATAGCCAGAACTTGGAAGCAATCTAGATGCCCCTCAACCAAAGAGTGGATAGAGAAAATGTGTTACATTTACACAATGGAGTACTACTCAGCAGAAAAAAAAACAATGGAATCCTGAAATTTGCAGGCAAATGGATGACACTAGAAGAAACCATCCTGAGCGAGGTAACCCAGTCACAAAAAGAGAAACATGGCATGTACTCTCTCATATATGGATTTTAGACCTATATCTGGGAAGTGGCAGCCTACAATCCCATGGCCAGAGAGTCTGGGAAACAGACCCTTCATCCAGTGGCTGATGGAAGCAGAGGCAGACTCCCACGGCTAAGCACTGAGCTGAACTCAAGAAATCCAGTGACAGAGAGGGGAGGCCTGATGACCAAAGGGATTAAGACTGGGCTGGTTTAACCCCCAGAAACAGCTGACCTGACAAGGGTTAGCTCTTGAATCCCAGACTGATGCCTGGGAATCCAGCATGGGACTGATCAAGACCCCCTGAATGTGGGTGTCAGTGAGGATGCCTAGGCAATCTATTGAGCCTTGGGTAGCAGACCAGTATTTATCCCAGGCTTACAAATGGACTTTGGGCTCCGATCCAACAATGAGAGATGCACTCTCACCCTGAACTCTTGGGGGAGGGTCTAGGCCCTGCCCTGGATGAAATGACAGACTATGGACACCCCCATGGAGGCCCTCACCCTCCCTGGGTAAATGAGGGGATATTGGGGGATTGGTGGGAGGGCACAGGAGGAGGGGAGGGAAACAGAGAGGGAACTGGAATTGACATGTGAAGCAACCATGTTTCTAATTTAAATTTAAAAATAAAAAAAATATATATAACCCCCCCAAAAATTCTCAAACTCTCCTCTTTGTTAGAAGAAGCTGTTTTTTGTAAGTACATAAAAATTCTCAATATTTCCTAAAGGGACTCTCGGGTAACCCTTGTCAGCTCCTAGGTATCTCTGGGGAAGCTAACACTGTGTTAAAGTTCTCTATTGAACGCCAGGCTGAAACTGTTCAGGCAGCACCATGCTTTACAAGTCTTTGCATAATTCAGGGTAGGTGTCGTTAAATAAACATTAAGGAGCAATGGCTGGAGCGCAGTTATCTCCCTACAATCACAGCTATGCTGGGGAAACTGTTACTGCAATTCAAACTCTTAACATCAAGTATGGCAGGTTACTCTACTAGGCAGTTTACTGAACATAAATAAGGAAGTTATTAAGAAAGTTTCATATGACACATCCTTGTATAAGAAGAGCTTCTGGGGCTTTTCTGTTCTAATTGATGCCCTCTAGATCCTCAATTTGCAAGTATGTAAGTAATAATGACTGGAGTGGCATATATTATTTTGTAATACCTATGCATAGTGACAAGGCATAAAATTACCTGGCCCTCTGTCCTTTTGTATCGTAACACACTACTTAGAAATAAGACATAGACAGGAATGGACGAGCACGTGCCTCTGACTGCTTTCAGTTTCAATTAGGTTATTCCCTTACCTGTGCAGAGAAGCTTCCTGAGAGCTTTTCCATTTGCTGGGACTACACAAAAGCTGACTCAAAATAGGTGCCGAGGACAAATTTTACAGGAACTAGAGAAAGTTTTGTTTTCTTTATTTATGTATAGAGAGACTGGGAAGCACATGAGATGGCTCTGTGTGTGGAGGTGCTTGCCAGTCAACCCCCGTGGCTGGAGTTTCATGTCTGAAACACACGGAAATCTGACGTAGGAGAACTAACTCCACAAAGCTATCCTCTGCCCTACACGCCTGCACGATGGCATGTTTGACAACACACATACTACACGCACACACACTCACACGCGCACATACACATCAAAAATTTTTTTTAAAAATTAAGACTTTTAAAAAGAAAGCAACGTATTTGCAGGATGTTTCTCTTTTCTCCAACATTTGAATGGTGAGTGTTGACTGAAGGCTGATCATGTGTAGGAGTTGAACATGTCCTACTGTGTCTCATGAACTCTGTGTGTGTCCTGGGCACCTTCAGTAGCTGGGGAGGGGGACTAATTTTAATACGTTTGTCCAACAGACCAAGTGTCTCAACACCTGGTATTATATACAGACAGTAAAGCAAATGACCTTGCTTTATCTAAATAAGACCCCTTTCCCTTCAATTCTCTTCCAGTCTTTGAAAAATGACGAGCAGTCTTCGAAAACGGATGTCCAGAAGCTTCTGGAGCTGGGCCAGAAACAGAGGTAAGACTGGAGTTCTATATTCCTTTACATTCTTCCTTTTTGCTTTTACGTTAAGACTTCCTGCCCACTCTGATTTTTGCGACACTATTAAAACACAACCAGGAAGTTTAGCAAAATCCATCTGCTATAACATGTGACCTTACCTTGTTGTGTTCACGGGTGCAAATGCCATTGATCCAGTACTTCGTGTAACCAGGTCTCTGGGTGGGGTGGGACTTGAGTCTCAAGTGTGCGTTTCAGGCAGTGACTTCGTGAAGGTGTTATGCTCAAAGCAGTTAAGTGAGACCTATACTCTCGCCAAGACCTGTGTTTTGGGGATTTGACATTTTTTTTAAAACAGTCCAATTCAATGTCCACATCATTCCAGGCTGGGTCTTTGGTCAGCAGGCAAAAAAAAAAAAAAAAAAAAAAAAAGAGAAAAGATGCTGTTCAAAAACATTATGCATATCAAGTAAAAGATGAGGAATTAGAGCTGGAGAGATGGCTCAGCCATTAAAGGCTAGGCTCACAACCAAAAATATAAGATGAGGAATTGACTATCAATCCTGTCATCAGCCTGGGTCTCCACTGTGACCTTACATTTTGACATATTTCAGGTCAGGTCACTAATGTGGTTAAAATGTCAGTGTCATGAACTACTCTTCATTGTTTACAACGATGAGTTTTTGTCTTTTTAGCTATTAGATACTAATGTTAAAATAAGCGGATATCTCTTTTCTTGTCTTTTTCATGATTTGTATTAGCAGCACCAGTGAGCTACAGGCAGCCCCTTAGCCACCTACTGTCTGGTTGACGTTTAAGCCAGTTTTTATTTTTGTTTCGTTTTGTTTTACTTCTGTGTGTTTTGGGTTCCTCATTTGCAAAGCACAGCTAATTATCTTAATAGTTGAAGAAAAAAAAGATCAGATTTGAAGGAATCTAAAAACATTGACCTCTTAGAAGTGGGAGTTTAATAGTCTCCCCTTTCTACTGGGATGTTGGGTTGGTAGAAATTAGTAAAAGAATGTAAGATATCAGTTAAAAAGAGAAGTTTGGGATATCTATAGAGCAACATGGTAGCAATTTAACAATGTATTTTTTTTTCTAGGAAAATATATGAACGGAGTAATTGTCAACTAAAATAAACTAAGATTTGGGGAAATTTTTTAACAAATGATTTCTTCTCAACCAAAGCAATTGAAGAAAAAAGGCATAATAGGAAAAATCACACAAAAACTAATATCTGCAAAACTCAAGCCAGTTACCAGTGATTAAGGGAGGTGGAGGAATTGGGTGTGGGGCAAAATCTTCTAATGGGTATCCTCGGGGTGGATCTCAGTGCTAAGCCTTGAGAACTCACAGTGGATAGCTCTGCATCGAGTGTAGTAGTCAATTCAAAAGAATTGTTATGCCAACTCTGTTTAAGATGAAAAGGAGATGTAGAACCTGTGGGCTCAAGAGGACGGGGAAGACTAGGTAATGAAGACACATTTTTATTAAAATCACATTGTTTCAGAAAGTTCAGCCTTACTCAGGAAGGCGTAGGTGTGGTATCTGAGATGTGACAAAGATGAAGAAGAGCCTGTGTCATTGCTATGATTGTAGATGCTCAGGTATGTTTACAATAACATGAAAATCCCTTAGGTCAATCAGGAGAATGGCATTAAGTCTGTAAATACATTTAAATAATCATTTACACTTGAGCTTCACACACAGATTCTCAGAGGACTGAACATCTGTTCCAACAAAAGAGTGAAAGAAAGCAGATGTGTTGGCACTGAAATTTCAGAGTTTTACACAAAATGAAAAAAACTTGTTGAAAACAAATAGCTCAGTTTTGTGTACCACTGAATCTGCAATAAAATCTCAGTAAATTTTGGTCATGGCTGTAGGTAACTTTTTCAAAACAAAATTGTATGAACTAGAATTTTCCCTAATGAACAAATAGCAAACTTATAGAGTATCTCTTTGTATCTGGAGACATTTTTTAAAATTAAATCTAAAGGATATGAGAGATCCATATACAACTATGTGAAGAGATAAGTGGGTGGTTCACCTCTAATGGGAGAAATATGTGTGTGGAAAGAGAGGGAAAATGATAGATTATAAATAGCTGATAAGTATCTAATAATCACATTAGTAGATAGATAATAGGGATTTTTTACTATCTTATTTTGATTACTGTTCATAATATATTGATGCCTGGGTAATATTCACAGAAGACCCTCAGGTTGACAAAGAAACATTAAAGAACATGTCGTTACTAAGGAGCACTAAGCAGAAAAATGACCCTGGGGGTGTCATGCAGTGTCTTAAGAATAAATGGGAAAAGGTGCTTTGTTCTCGCTGTTGGATGGGGGAATAGTTAGAAAGTTAGAAAGGAAGACGAACTCACACTCAGAGCCCTGTAAGAGTACTGACCGTTGACATGTTCTCTGGGAACAAGAGGGAAGCTTGGGAGAGGGGTTAGCTCTTACTGTGTAAGTTACTGATTGGTATACCAGCACATTGCCATCTGAAACTCACTCCTTCCTGACACAAAAACAGTGATGAAAACCACACAGATTAGCTGTCAGATGTATGCCCGACACGATAACCTATACTAAGACGGACAAGCCTGGGAGCAATGCCACCTTGTCACTGGGGCTGCCCAATCCTAGGACTAGAGATTCACATCCACACCAAAGAGGCTCTGAAGCAGCCGGCACTAATTATGTGGTCAAATCTTCCTCAAGTGAGGTGTGGTGTCAAAACAAGCAAGCCGGGGCTCATAGTGGAAAAAATTGTGAGTCTGGGAGGCAGGCGCCAAAGCTGGAGAACAGTGGGATATATAGCCATATCAGCAGAAAAAAATGTGCTGAGGGGTGGTTAGTATAAGTAAGGCCAAATTGTCTGTCCCATTTAGCAGCTCAATTATGTGCAAAATTCTCTGCTTCCACCATCTAAAAAATGTTGTATTTATATTTACATCCATGTGTTTTGCATCCAAGTGTTTTGTTGAGTGTGTGTATATGTACCAGGTGCACGTGTGGTTCTCATAGAATTTGCAAAGGGGTAACCAGTTCCCTGGGACTTGAGTTACAGTGCTGGGAACTGAACCTGGGTCCTTCTGCAAGAAGAACAAACGATTTTAACTACTGAGCCTTCCCTTCAGGTCCCTTCCTCCAGATTTTACTAACATATTACTGCTTGCTTTGTTTCCATTCCCAGTTTGGCTTTAGACATCAGAATATGGGATTTTTATTGCCTTGTATTTATAGTATAATTTTATTAGATCTATTATTCGTTGTTTAAAACTAGTAATAGGTAGTCTAAATATAAAATCTTGAATGAAAAGCTCTAGCTGCTATAAAATTATTTCAACTTTTTTTGTTGAATATATAATTCAGAGTTCAACTTGTATTTGAGAAACACTGTTTCCGTTCCATCTTTCTGGCACCCTTCCTTTCTCCCCTTCCCCCCCTCCGTTTACTAGAAGTAGTGTAGTGACTTTCTTCAGGTGTCCTTGTGAAAATCAGTTTTCTATGAGACACAGATATCACATTTTGACTTGATCGAAAACACATGTGTCTATTGCGTATCATCATCTTTTACTTTCTTGTATATTGCATTTAGCATTTATATACTATGCCATTAATTATTATGTCACAAAAGCTTCTGTAAAAAAATATGGTATTCCAGAAAATCTCCCATGAAAGCTGAAATTTAGCTTTAGACCATGAATCATGGATTTACCCAGGACCACAATGGTTCCATCTCTCTCTCTCTCTCTCTCTCTCTCTCTCTCTCTCTCTCTCTCTCTCTCTCTCTCTCTCTCTCTCTCTCTCTCCTCTGCCTCCCCTGAAAATTAATTCTTGGTGATTACAGTACCTAGTGACATAGCGTAGAAATCCAGAACACAGAGTGTCCTGCTAAAGGGAAGAAAAGCACCCCATTTTGTGGGACTTTCTGCTCAAAGAATATACTTCAGGCCTCTATGGGGTTGGGTCTTTTAATTGTTGTACAAAAAGTAACTTCCATTTCTAGGCTTGGTGCTAAACATTTTGTTTGTTATGTCATCTAAGCCTTGCCAAAGGCCTACAAAGTGTCTGTATTATTGCACCCAGTTCTAAATGAACAATTTTACAAGGAGGACATTTTACTATTCACCCAGATTATCACAAGTAGTTTTGCAGCAATTGATTGCCTAATTTAAACTAGGTTTGATTGTCGTGGAATAGAACAGTGCCCTGCTTTGTTGCTGTAGTTTTAGGCAACTTCTCTAGGCATAGTTATGTATCCTATATGTGTACTCTATTACACGCATGTGCTTATACACACACCCCCACACACTAACATTTTTATAATCTATTCTTTTTGAGGCAATAGTATAGTTTGGGTGGTAAAAGCAAGTAAATGTCATTAATCCTACATGCACAATTTCTAAATCCTTAAGAGGAAGCTAGTGTTTTAAGTTAGCCCATGAAATAATTGTTTTCATCATGACATTCACAAACATGTACACACACATGCAAATATGTACACACATATGCACATACACATATGCACTATTACTGTAATTTGTTCACTCCAATAACCCTTGCACTGAGAACTTTTCTTGATTTACATTACGAATATGAGCGACAATGAAGCATTTGTCTTTCTCCAACCCCCCCCAAAAAAACAAGACATAATCCATGCATACTTATGATCTGGAGACACAATGTCCATGTATTTATAGTCACACATTTTCTTTCCTGTGCTACTTAAACTATAATTAGAACTAAATCTCCTTTCCTTGTGTTTTCATGAAAAATTCTCAGAACTAATAAAGTATATCTAAGCAACAATACTGAACAACTAAGAAATTATGAGGATCATAACATTACAATAATTTCTTTCAGAAGTCTATAATGACTTTTGACCCAGTGTGTTCATACCCTACATGCTGTCAGTGAAATTAGCTTTCCAACTTGAGTTGGTATATCGAGTTGATTGAACACACATCATTGTTCACTGTGAGATTCTTAGAAAACATAATAACAAGGCAATTTCCCTTAACTATAACCTGCTTTATGCATGTGTGTGAAAAGAAAGCTCGTTATTATCAGTGTATTCAGATGCATCCCTTTGTATTGCTGCAGGTTCTCATAATTATAGTTAGCTGCTCCTTAGACTTAGACGGATAGACAAACTTCTTTTTGTAAAGTTCGTGGAAAATAGTGGAGTCGTATGATATCCCTTCTTTGTTCTTTTTTTCCTACTAACCTAGGGAAGAAATGAAGTCTCTCCAGGACGCCTTGCAGAAGCAGCTTAGAGAGACATCTGAGAAAGCAGAGAAACACCAGGCCACAGTGAGTGTGTTTTTTGTTTCTTCTCTGTCAATTTGCTTTGGGACCGGAAAGTCGTCTCTTCCTTTTCTCTCATCACTGGGGAAAAATACACAGTACATGTAACAGTGAAGTCACTACAACAATCATTTTAATCGGTATAATATTTTGTCCCAATTTACTGCAAGAGTAAAGATGAATGTTGTGTTTAATTTGGAGATCTTCTAGTTCTTACTATTTATTCCCTGTGAGGCAAACCAGGCAGGGAACTGGCTGAGGCTCACACTAGTGACTCCTGGATGGGGTGGAAACTGAACAGGAAGCCAGGTAACCTGCGCAGATCCCAAAGCTGTCCCCGACAGCCACAGGCGTGGGAATCAATCGGGGTCAGGCCCATCCTATCTGCCTAGTCTTCAGTCCCAGGTATTCCTCAAGGGTAAGACCTACACTTCAAGGGTCCAGCTGCTCCCCAGATCATTCCAAGAAAATGTCCTTTGGGCATGCACGCTTTGACTCTTATCACCGAGAGGCACCAGAGACGGGGAAACTGACTCCTGAAGCAAAGCTGGGATATGCGTCTCGGCTTAATTTCTCAGGCTCACTTTTGTTCCCCTCACAAAGATGAGACTTGTATATAGTGTCTGGTGCCTCAGTCTGCCTTTAAAAATATAGTAAATAGCACCATGGAAAATTTGTGCGCTAGAGATGAAGAGATTTGAATGTCTTACTGAGAGGAGGGATCGTATGTTATGCCCAGGGCCCACATGGGGAAGGCTAGAGCTAGTCACCAGAGAGACCTGGACCCCATCATAATTTCAGAGGACAATTCAATGGTGAGACCGCTAACAAGGCTTACCCTCGAGACATAGGAGCTACCCCACATTCTGGGTATCTGCCCCTAAGGTTACTGGGGCAGGTCTGAAGTGGTTTGGAGTGGCACTAGGGTGTGTTATTCTTTAGCTGAATGATTGTTATTGGAAAGCATGGTCATGCACCGGGCATGCATGACCTATTGTGGCTACCGTGAGGGAGGCAGGAGGAGAGAGAAGCATATTTCAAGCACACCATCTGGCTACTCAGAATGAGGCTGGTCCAGCATAAACTCTGGAGCACCAATCCAATAAAGCCTCAGTTTTGGAAACCGGAAACAAGATCAATGCAGGTATCCATCTTGCTCGGTTCCTGGAATCCCGGGCTTTCTAAACAATGTGGCGAGCCTTTTATTTTGCAAAGCTTCTAACAACTTTGATTAGAGTGTGGAGTTTTGCTCCTGAATCTCAGGTCAGTTTGTCACCCAAGACAGTCGACTCCTGAGGGCAGCCTTTCTCATAGTGATGGTCTGCTGTGCTGTGTTAGGATTGTTTGCTGTTAAAGAGTTCTCATTATCTCTTCCATCTGTCACGGTAACACATACTTGGATGGCATGAAAACGCGGGGTGATTTTATGTGGGATGTTCTAATGCTTGGCTATCTGGACACCGAAATGTTTTGTAAAAGAAGGGACAGTTGTTAGCACCTTCCTACTCATCCCTTCCCTCAGTTCCTGACCTAGAATGTTGGGTGGCTATCTGAAGTATCATTTCTGTGCTGCCCAATCAGACTTCATTTGAATTTGCCTTGGGAAGTCTAATCTGAAAAAAAGAGATGGCCTTGAGAACAGACATCCTCTATTCCCTATTTTCTCAGACGCTAGTAGTAAAGCCATATTGTAACTCACAGGAGGTAAATTCCTGGCTTGTTTTACATTGCTAGTGGGCAGAGCAACCAAGGCACGCACGACAGCAATTTCCCACACTTTTTTGCAGATGGAGTTCCAAGGAGAATATAGCCACTCTTGAGAGAGCAAAAGCTAAAGATAGAATATCCAGCTACGGAAATGTCATGGATACAGAGAATGCCCTCTGTGTCTCACCGAGCATGCTCTCAGTATCTTTCTGGTGAAGTTCTTTTGGAGAGCCTTAGCACTCCTACCCACACCCTCCTAGCATTTCTACGAAGCCTAAAAGTACTTGGCAGTGACTGACTCAGCACGCTATTCCAGGGATAATTCCTAATGGAACAGGCATTCTGTGGACTTAATCAAGTTCTGCCAGTTGGCTTATTTATCCAATTAAAACAGTGTATCACAGAAAAAAGGATTTTATTGTTATTAAAATAGCAATAATATATTACTAACATATGATGTTTGTTATCTAGAAATATAATAATAATATTATAATTAAAAGTGCAATTATATCTGGAATATAGGCCATAGTATATATGAAAGTTATATTATGCCCTTACCTCTCTGCCCAATATTTGAATTCCATATTCGTATGTTATCATTCCATTTCCCTCGGGCTCTCCTATTAACTACTTGGAATATTTGTAAAGCTGTTCATTAGTAATTATGATTCTGTGCACACACGGTGCTAAGCAGTATGGATGATGAATTGTAACCAACTTCAAAATTGTAGGCTATCATGTCCACTGCTACCTGCTAATGCCCCAGTAAGCATTATCAAGGATGACATAGGATTAATATTTGACAAGGAGAGATTCAAATAATGCAGTCTATTCTTAATCATTAGGGATGTTCTAGTGTTTCAACTCTAAGTAATTACTAATCAAAACCATTTACTTACACAATCCAGATGCTATACATGGATTTCCAGCAGCTGCTCTTGCAGGCTGACAATGAGCTATGCAAGACTGACCTGAGGTTCAGAATCTCAAGGCTCCTGTTGGAGGAGTGAGCCGTGTCACCTACCTAACAATGATCTCTGACTGAACATTTGAAACATCATTCTCACTAGTAATTAAAAGACTAATCACTGATGTTAGTGCTTTGTATCATCTTACCTGCAGATAGGCTATTACCGTTATTTACTATAACTGCTGTATATTTTTTAAGGTCACATGTTGTCCTATATTTATATAAACTTATGCATATATAAAGTTATATGTGGACACATGATAATGTTTCAGAATGATCGTATGTTGGGAAGTATACAATTATATTACAGCATAAAATGTATGATGTCCCTTTTGCATTGTGTATGTTGGAACATTATAATGCAGAAAAGCAATATTCAACATAAACTGCAATCATTCTATTTAAATTGCTAGTTTTAAGGCTGTGGGATGACGTAAAGAGGTACCATATGATTAGCTTCATTCCTGAACTGAAGTTAAAGAAAAATTGTGCACATCCATTCCCCAATGTGACGCCAAAAGTCACAAAATGCATGCATTACTAAAAGAGCGTCTCATAGAATAAAGCAAAGATTCCAAGTGACAAACTTCAAAGAGAGCCTTTCCTGAGGTGACTCTAGGTGCAGGAAAGAAAGGACTCCCCTGGTTTTCTTTGATCTTCCCTGCAAGGAGATGAAAGGAAAGCCGTGAGGATAACAGCAACTATAATTCAGTAACCTTAGGTGCAGACATCCGATTTCCATAGCGGGAACTCTTTATGCAAGGGAGTTCTCATGGGAACTGACAACTTGGAACATCCTGGGACAGGGGGTGATCAAATATGTCCACGAGCTGTGCTATTCACACTCGCATAATGACAGAACTGGAAGAAGGCTAGATACAAGGAGAAAAGCAAGTTTCCAAATTAACCAAAACTCTAATGTATTAGAAACCACAATGAATTAAAATAGTTTAACTATATTAACACAAAAGCTTAAAATAGGACAAAATAAAATTGGAAAGTGTGTAGAAAAACATGAAAATATTACTAATTACATGAGCATATTAGCAAAATTAAATACAAAATAAAATTTAAGGAAAACAGTTGCTAGTACAGTAATGTTTTTCAAGTAAAAAGCTTTACAGAACAAAGGCATTGCTAGCAATAGCTTTGTGAACCCAGGAAGAAATGAAATCATCATACACTACTCTGCCCTAAGCAGTAAAACTTCACACTTGCAGCTTCAAAACCCATCCATCTGTAAGTAAGAGCAGTTAGATCCAATGAACAAATACTTTAAAAAATAGTGTAAACTATTTCAAATATGTAAGAAATCTCCAGTAAAGTTTCTGAACAGATAAATATGTGATTCTGTATATGCAAATATACTAGTACTACATTGAAAGTTATTCCAGTTCACTATAATAACATAATTCATTTACAATGGATTAATCATTCCTTAATTTTGAAAAATACAGACCACATTTCTTAGCATTATTTATATTATCTAGAAATACAAATAAAAATAATAGTTTGAAAAGAAATGATTAGTGGTAAAGGAATTACTTTAAATTTGCTTGTTAATAAAAGAACTAACACCAAATCATTTAAGCTATTCTAAAAAGTAAATAAATAATGACAATGGAATTTTTACAAATATATTCAACAAAGCCAGATAAGGACACCAGAGGGGAAAATGACAAGCATTATCTTCATGAACAGTGTTGCAGTTACATTAAGCAAAATGATATCAAACTTGATAAAGCAGAAAATTATAATAAAGATTATTTATGACAGAAAAAGTGAATTCATAGAAAGGAATTCAAAGATAGTTCAAATATATTCACATTAATTATGGAAGTCTACTATACCAATAGCATGAAAGACATGGGATCCGTGGTCAAACAGATGTACAAAAGGTACTTGATAAAATGTAATGCCACTTCATGAAAAAAGCTGAACTTACTAGAAATATATATAATTTTAATGTAAAGATCACTCACAGAGTCAAAAACTAATATCATATTTAACATTGGAGATGTTAAAAGCTTTCTGATGCTTGGAGCAAGAAAAGAATGCTAATTTTCATGGCTTTTGCTCAACATAGTACAGGAAGTCCTCATCAAAGCAATCAGGCAAGAGAAAAGAAGAAAAGGCATCCAAATTGAGAAAGTGAAATTCAGTTCATCACTTTTGCCAATACTATGATCAAATATATCAAAACTCCAAAAATCTTTACCAGAAATACCTTTAAAGTTATGACTGAATTTCTCAATGCTTAAGGGTGCAAAACTCACATGCAAATGTGGATAATGTTCTCACATTCTGATAGTGAATTAGCTAACATGGA